TGTATTTAATCTGTATTTATGTTATCTGTATGCACCCAAGGGTCTGAGAGTAACGCAATTTCAATTCTCTGTGTGTATGTCCTGTACATGTGGAAGAATTGACAATAAAGCAGACTTGAACTTGAACTTGAACAATGAAACTGAAAGCCTGAGCCGCTTCTTCCCAGTGTGAATAAAGGAAAGTGACAGATTTTTTTTATTTTTTTATCTCAGCCTCTTTGTATATTTGTATAGTTGTATTTTGTATTTAATCTGTATTTATGTTATCTGTATGCACCCAAGGGTCTGAGAGTAACGCAATTTCAATTCTCTGTGTGTATGTCCTGTACATGTGGAAGAATTGACAATAAAGCAGACTTAAACTTGAACTATGAAACTGAAAGCCTGAGCCGCTTCTTCCCAGTGTGAATAAAGGAAAGTGACAGATTTTTTTTATTTTTTTATCTCAGCCTCTCCCTGCTATTTTGATACACCTCTTTTCATATTCATAACATCAGATGAATATCAGATGGACGAGATCCTCAACATATGTATTGCACATGACAAAGTACACATTCTGAAATCTAAATAAAGTTGTATGCTTTTGTGGTAAAACACATTTTATTAAAGATGTTTAAAAAAAGCACAGAGGAGAAGAGAAAATCACAAACAGTTTAGTTACACAATATAATGAAATACAATAAGAGTGACCTGAGTAGCCTCAGACATCCAAATTCAGAGTGCAGAAGGAAATAAAGGGCACAACAAGGCCTCCACAGAAAGTCACTGTTCCCTTACACCTGTGCATAAACACACACACACACACACACACACTCACGCCTACACACACCACCACGCATAACACAGCACTCGTGAAGGAAAGACCACCACCAGAAATCCACCTCCGCCTTACGACACTCAGCTCCTGCAACAAACAACATTAGGTTATGCACTGCTCTCAGAACACCACTTATAAAACCAGAGTCACTCCATAACTATTAACAATCAATCAATGCACATAAATTAGAAACTTGAGAGAAACAATACTTAAAACAATACCAAAATAGAAACCCTTCAGGCCAGTCGCCAAGGTGGGGCATTGGGCATTTATTAAAATAAATAAATAAATTCAAAAAACTATGATTCACTTACCCTGTGTATAACATTTGGTTTGCATACTTCATTTGGCTGTCGAGGTGTTGATGACAAGAAGACAATAAAGGAAAGCACATTTTTTAAAATGTAACTGTACATGCTATGCTTTATTGTTCAAGCAAGACTGGATAAAGCATCAGCACAAAATGCATTATTAAACTGTAGATGGGCACAATTGATGTAAACAAAGTTACATACATTTAGAATTACATATATACAATTGTATGTGCGATACATCAGCACATTAAACTTGAGAGAAACAATACTTAAAACAATACCAAAATAGAGACCCTTCAGGCCCGTCGCCAAGGTGGGGCATTGGGGCATTTATTTAAATAAATACAAAAAACTATGATTCACTTACCCTGTGTGCAACATTTGGTTTACATACTTCATTTGGCTGTCGAGGTGTTGATGACAAGAAGACAATAAAGGAAAGCACATTTTTTAAAATGTAACTGTACATGCTATGCTTTATTGTTCAAGCAAGACTGGATAAAGCATCAGCACAAAATGCATTATTAA